CCCGCAGAAGAGGGCGGCCAGCCCGGCCCGCCGGCATCCTCGTCGCTGCTCGTGTCCCAGTCAGACATGGCGGCTCCCCGCCTTGGGCTCCGCGGCCCATGTGGCGGGCCTCAGCCCGCCTTTGGCTAGGGAGTGCGCTGATTGGCCAAAGCGGGCCGCTCCCTGAGCAGTGATTGGCTGGCTCCCGCTGAGGGCCGCTGAGGGCCGCTGGGTCCCAGGTCCTGCCGCCATCTCCCTCCCGTTTCCTTCGCCCGCCTCGGGGCAGCCCTGGGTGGGCTCCGCCGAGGAGGAGGCGGTGGTTTAGGACGGGAGGGGCACGAACTCGGTCCTGAACGTGTGGGAAGCCCCCGAAGACTGTAGGGGAGAGAGGCAGGCAGCCTCAGGGGAGGCTGGGGAGTGAGGAGTAACTTGGCTAGGTGTCAAGGCTTGTGGCACACGGGTACATCTCAGTCCGAACTTCTTAGGGAAGTCATAATATTTAACCTCAAATTAAGCTTTAATGGTACTTTAATGAAGATTTTAGTGTGACCGAATGTACTAAGGCTGATACAAAATTGGAAACCGAGTCGCAGAACAGCTGAGGCTGAAGGCACCTCCGGAGGCCATCTTGTGTCCGCCCCCCCGGGCTCAAGCAGGGACACCAAGAGCCAGTTGCCCAGGTCCGTGTCCGGGCGGCTTTTGAGTATCTCCAAGGATGGAGACTCCACAACCTCCCTGGGAAACCTGTACCAGTGCTTGGTCACCCTCACCGTGAAAAAAAAACACCAAAACCCAAAACAAGAAAAAGCTAACACCTCCCCCTCCCCCCTTCAATTACACTGAAAATCTGCTAAAGGAGGGTTTAAATTTCCCCTTTTAGGCACGGTCGTGTACTCCTGTTGTACAGAGCTGAACGGTGAACGTGAACGTACGTGTCTCCATGGTTGCACATGGCCACCTGTGCCTGGCTGTGGTGACCTTTAGGGTAAGTCTGCAGGAAAAACGTCACGCCGTTCTCTTCTGACCCTTCCCTGCTATCTCTACGTGCACGTGAAGCAAGGCTGCCCGGCTTCACACAAGAAGAGCGTGCATACGTGCTTGCCTTTTTCCCTCTCCTGTGTGTATTCTTAGGCAGAGCGTGGCAGTGTTCACATAGCCTGTGGGTACAAATGGCTGACGTGGAAAATCTGCCTTTCTGGAGACTGCATCTTTAAATTTCGGTATCTAAGATTACATTCACCAGAGGGGCAGGGGGTAGCTTGTACATGGAAATATCTTGCTCTGATTTTGAAGCCTCCACAGGGGCAGTGACTTCACCAGAAGAACAGGCTCTCTGTATTTAATGCTTTACACTCAAATACTAAAGTTTGTCTTCAGCAGGACTGCAGGAAGAGCGAAGGAAAGAAGGGGAAAGAAGGCTGTGTGTTTGGTGCGGTAGCATTCTAGAGCGACTTCCATGATTCAGTGCAGAGGAAAGGGCTTCACCTAGGCCTCAAGTTAAACTGAGGTAGGGGATGAGCCTTCCCTGAGGAATCCTGCTCCTTGCACAGGCCCCTGATTGCCGATTCTGAATCAATTACTGTTTATCTGACAGGGAAGGTAATAATAACTTCCAAACTCATTTTCATAGAGGTGCTGAACATCTGAAGTTTAAGTAAACTCTGCTGTAAACAATTACCAGGAACTGAAGGTATCTGACTGGTTTGTGCACATTTTATTCTAGTAAGCTTCCTTTGTGGTGTTTTCGTCCACTTAATAAAAAATGACAAAACTTCAAAAGGAAAACAATGAGCAAGTTTAAATATTTTCCTTGCCTGATATGTGCTCACTCCATACAATCTTTTATGTAAGGAAAAAAACCCAGTAAGCATGGTACTTTTCAAATCATTTTTATTAACAACAATATGGATTCAACTTTGTCAAGAAGTTACAATCAACATTGTAATGTACTGGCTAATGTCGTTGCAGTGTCAGTGGAAGCTGCCTTCGTGCTTTCTAAGCCTGTTACAAAACTGTCTTTTTTATCTTTCGAAGAAGTCAAAAATGCTTCCAATAGCAGATGATATTGGATATGTCTGGACTTGTCCTATATGTGGCCGCAGCTGAATGAATGGCCACATCTGCATCCAGATGAATGAACAGGGAAATGTTACATGCTTCCACTGACGCTGCAGGGGACAATTCTTATTTCAAAAACCAATTAACCTTTTTAGACAGTGACAGCACTTTGTGTGATGTTGTAATCCATTTGAATTAAGTCGATTAACACACTTGAAAAAAAATGTGAAGCAGAAATATCTGGGGCAAATTCTTTTCTGACCTGTATTTCATTCAAACCTAATGAATCCAAAAGGATTGGATGACATATGAGTCAGGATAAAAGTTGGCCCAGAGAGGCAAGTTCATTCCTGGTATAGGTGAGTTCAGTTCCTTTAAGGTCAGTGGAACTGAGCCTGATTATCCCAATGGAGGCTGAACTTCACCCGCTTGGGCAGTGAATTCATTGAAGTCAGTGAAGCCATCCAAGGATGAATTTAGCCTCAGGTGTTTAAACCCTTTTTTTTCGTTCCTTTGCTGTTATATTTTCTTTTCCTGCTTACTCCTCTTTTCTGATTATTCTCCTTTTCTCTGTGCTTTTTAAAAATGTCCCTTCTCTTCTTCCTTTTTTACATCAGTACTTTGTGCGTTATTTTTTATATAGTCAATGTGACATGGGTAAATTCAGCTAAGTATTAGTTTCCTCAGGAAATAACTGGAATATTACCATTTTCACTTTAAACAGATGCCCAACAAAATAAGGATTTGAATCTGAGCTCCCGATTCAAGAAAAATTCTTGAATTCCATAGAATGAATGAATTCCATAGAATTTTTGCTTGAGTAAGGATTGCAGGTCCCAATCCAGAAATACTACTGTACATCAGATGTTCTACTATACATCAGCAATTCAGTATGATTTGACTTATCACAGAAGAGCCGGTGAATTACTCATCACCATACTATAATGAGAGCAGTCACTCTAAGTAGGATTATCTCAAAAACATATGGAACAACCATGGGCACTGTGAATAAAAGTGTATGATCTTTGCAATCTTGAACCCTAGGCTAAAACACCATATTTAAATAAAAAGTATAGATCCTATAAGCCAGGAGCAAATACAAATTTTTAAACAAATAATAATAATCAAAACTATTCTTTTCAGTTCTCTCTTCAATCAGGTACAAGAAACATGCTGATCAGAAAACAGTTATTTGGATAGGCCTTAATTCCTGAAGCTCTTACTTAAGTTCAAATTCTCTCTTCAACAATCCTCAAGCGGATTGTAAATCAGAAAAAAAATTGTCCTTTGTCCCAACTCATGAACAATTCTTATTAGCCGTCATGAGCTGGGCTTTAATAAGCAGCTCAGGACAAGACTTGAAAAGCCAGACAGATCCTTCTTTTGTGAAACCAATGAATGACTGTCAGTCATGACACTGTCTTTTAACGAGAGAGCGTAGAAACGGGAAACTCCTCATGAGGAAATATGAGCAAAGCCTATAAAAATCCAAACAAACAATTCTTCCTCTCCAGAATTTCATATATTCACTACTCTTTCTATTTTCTATCAATATTATGTTAAAAAATTCCTATATGATAAGACTTGCAGCTACAAAAATAATAATGGTGAGCATAAAAGAAAAAAATTAGGATTTTAAACCATAATTTGAAAAGATACGATCTTCTGGATTTATTAGGACTTTGTAAAGACATTAACATTTTCATACATAATTTATAGAACTCATTCTTTTGTGCACAAAATTGTATTAAATAAATTAACTTAAAATTAGAAGGACTCAAGCATGTCATTTAAGGCAAAAATACCAAGTTTCCGTGAGATAAATCATCAGCAAAACCCAAGGCCCCGTTTCTGTGCGGAATCGGTACAGGCAGGGCCAATGCTCAGTTCTCCCATTGACTCCTTCCAGGCTCAATGGGGGTGCAACCATCCACTCATGCAGATAAAGGTGGAAGAGTGGTGTCCAATACACGATGCCTTGATTTTGCGATCTCGTCAAGGAAGGGAAGGGAGTTTCGTTACTGACACACAGTTGCCATGTGCCCCATCTCTTGCTCCTTAACTGAACCCAAATGCAGGTTTATGCTTAGGGCAGCAGGAGGCTTCGTATGAAAGGCAAGAAAGGCACCATAAACCGTTAGGAAAAAGAAAGAGAAGGCTAAAAAAACCTTGTAAGTTGTTAAATTTTGGATAGTACTTTAAACTTACAGATCTGTCTGGATAAACTGCAGACATTCAAATAAGTTAATGGTTAAATGAACTGAGATGTGGAAAAACCCCTATTTATCCTCACAAAATTACTGTTGTAATCAGGCTTTAGTATGATCAGACAGCACATAAAAGCAGGAAAGGCTGAATGTGGTAAATGATATGGCAAATCAGTGGTGAGGAAATTGTGCTTCAAGGCGTCTTTCAGGATTTAACAGCTGAAGTTTGCTCCGGCGTAAGCCATGGAACACAGTGTACCATCCGTGGACCCCGTATAACGACACAATATATACACTCTACAGTTTGCATGTACTTTCACATAATAAGGTTGTCATGTAACATCCAGGAATACTTCGGTAAAGGAAATATGGAAGCAGAAATTACAATGGTTTCATAGTAAACAGATCAAGTCCTTCACAATACAATCTACAGCATTTAGCCATGGTTAAGACTGGAGTGATGTTTTTGATGTACATGGTAAGTTCCCAGCAGGTATGTCTGGGCCTTGAGAAAACACTGCCCTGAGTGAGCTGGCACGGGCACCCCTGTACATTCGGCGTTCCTGGTGCTAGAGGGAAGCTGAGCCCAAGTCGGGTTGTCTACAAGCCAGTGGTGCAGGTGGGGTGTAAATCGGGAGGGGAGACGACGCACAGAAACCTCATTCAGCTGGGAAGAGCGAAAACCTGTTTAGGCTCCGCAAGGGTTCTCCCAGCGGCAAAGCCTTTGCTGGGGATGTGCAGGTAGGCTCTAACGCTGCTCCTGCATCTCAGCAGAAGTGAAGTGTAGGTCAGGGTAAGGAAAAAAGAGGATGTATCAAGCAGGAATGCTTGGTCTGATGGAGGCTTTGAAATTGAAAACTCGGGTATTGGGAGGAAGGAGGCTGAAGGTCCTTTCTTGGAAAGTTCACAAGAAATGACTGCAGTTGGGACACAGTGTTGAGCTATAAGAGTGTAACCACTTTCCCCTCTGTCCCCCTCCCTTTTTATTTAAAAAGCAAACAAACAAAACCAACCAACCAAAAAACCCCTTGCCTTCAGGGCTTTTTTCAGTTAAGGTGGTCTTCCCTACTTCTATTTCCATTTTTGATTGCCTACGTGGCTTTTTTTGGAAATAGCACTCAATATCTGTGACTGACAGGCTGGATTTAAAAAAAAAAAAAATTATCTTTTTGCCTCTTTACCTTCCTTGTTTTATTTTCTGGGATAATTTCCCTTCCTGCCCATCTAAATCCATATTCTTTTTTTTTTTCTTCATTGATTGTGTTGTCTTTCTCTCTTCCCTGTCCTGTCCTCTTTAGTTTTACTCTGTATTTCAGTTCCTCATTTTCCCTCCTTTCCCAGACTTATGAAGTGCTGTCACGGTATCAGGTTGGGACTGCAAGGAAAATTGCAAGAATTTCCACAGAAGGAAATATTGCTTCTACAATAAAGGCAGCGCCTCCTTGCTTCTGTCACCTACTACTGCCAAAATGTTTCAGATTCACAAGACAGCTCCTCAATGTGTCTGGAAGAAGGAGAGATTCCTCTGAATTTTTAGTGCAGTCACCCAGGTTATCCACTTCTGAGGCCAGCCCCATTCCTTAAAATACAAACTCTTTGTAACAAAATAATGTTCTTGTTATAAAGAACAACATGATAGTGGTGTGTCAGGTACTTTTGCCACAGCACTAAATCACCAAAAATCGGATGGATATTAACATACTGTTTTTCAGAGTTAAAAATAACTGATTACTGATGAGCTAATGTGTGTATCTTGCAACTGGTGGCCATTTCTAATCCCATATTACTGGTTTCCTTGGTACCTTGCTAGCAGCTGTAGATAATTTTTTTGTTGTAAACATAAACTATCATCTAAATCAGGACATTATATATATATATATTTAATTAGTTCAGAAGCAAAGTGCTTTAAAACCTTACGATTTTTACTTCTGCCCTGTAGAAACGGCACTAGGTCTAAATGCTCAAATTTTTGCTTTTTGATACATCCTGCAGCATTAGCTTTGTAGGCAACTCGTTATTTAAACCTACTGTACTACATGAAAGGCTGCTGTACTGTAGGTGTAAATTTGAATGTTAGCCATCACTTAAACATGCATTTTCATGCAACTAGGAGATATGGGCTCATTCAACTGCTTTGCAGATTCATCCTGATTTTTGTGATTTCCTCTTATTAAAAAGGCTTTCAAAACAGTTCATGCTATGATATGTATGACTAGAGGGATGACCCAGCCAATGAAGAAAGCCCACAAGCTGTTATTTAAGTTTGACATGGAGCAGATTGAGTGCTTCTGTACCATCCCCTGGCTTGCAGATGCTTTGAGATGATCTTGATATTCCAGTCCTTAGAGAGTCAGCAGAGAGAGTTGTTTCCACTAATGGGCGCGAGATGGCTTCAGTAGTCTCTGTTCCTGCCTCTGTCTCCAACTCTTCATCAGTTATAAATAATTTTGACTCCCTCCATTTGGAGTATACGTCTTGGCTACCTCTGGAACCACTGGAGTCACTGCCAGCCATCTGTACATTCAGTTCTTCTGTTGATTGTATAAGGTTTTGTACAGATAAAGATTTACCTAAATCCATTTGCACCACAGGTTTAACTGAGAGCAAAGGTTCCCCTTCTGTATCCAGACTTTTTCTCCATGTGAGATCCTTCGTCGCACTGGGCTGTGCAACTTGTCCTTTATCCTTTGATGCAACAAGGCAAGCGGTGACGTCGGAAATATTTTCCTGTGTGGTTACAGGAATAATATGAACGGGCTCAGGCCTATTGATATGCTTCATTGATGAGAAAGGTGGTATTTGTAATGTTGTTGGAGTTGCTGGCTTAGTTGCCTGGTTTATTTGGTTTGCTGCAGGTCCGTCGTTTGGCACTTGCGTTGCTTGACTATGCATAGCTGGACTAAAAGCATAGTAAGCCTGAGTGCTAAATTCATTTGGTGTCAGTATAAGCTGTAGGCCACGAGGCAGATTGGCACTAGCTGATCTGGATACACATCCACTAACTTGTGCAGAATTAGACAAATCTTTGCTGTCTGATGGACTCTGATAATCAGAAGTCTGCTCACACTCAAAAGCTGGCATTTGAAATGAAGCCAAAGTGAGCGCGGATGCAGATCCTTTTCGCAAAACTTGTTGATAAATATCTAATAGACAGTCCAGTTTTGACTCAATGGATTGTACCTACAGGAGGAGAGGAGAAGGTTAACATTAATGCCAACTACTAATTTAAAACATTTGGAACCCAAGCAAAGGACAAATGTGACTGCTGAAGAGAAAAATGGAAGGAGCTTGGTATACGCTATTGACCCTTGAAAAATAATGTCAAAAGAGGTGTAAATTTTTCAGAGGTAAGCTAATAAAAGGGAAAAAAAATTAGTAACCTGCGAGTTTTCCTTACTTACTTTTCTGTACATGGAAGACTGATAAGGTAATACGATTAATACCAATTTTATTTCAACATGTAAATGAAGCAGATATTAGAAAAAAATATTTTACCTGTTCAGCCTTTGAAACTGGCAATAAAATACACAAAAGGCATGAGCAATAGAGCAAGACAAAGCGACACAGATAATCACTCTACCTGTTTTTCCACTTTGACTACACGCCCTAACATACTGAGGTCATCGGTTGTCTCATTCTCTGCAGGATTCTTTTCTCTACTTCTTTTATCTGCTGTGATTTGTCCTTTCCCAAGAATTTGGTCAACGCTGTAAGAGAAATCAAAAGCTGCTGTGATTCCTGAAAACGGTGATGATATGGCAGCGTTCGCTCTACCAATACATTAAAAATTAAAATCACAGTACTTCAGCAAAGCACTTGAGAAAGAAGACAAACTTAATTTTATTAATTAAGGAGAAAAAAACCCCATGATTTTTAAGCATTTGGGATGGCTTTTCTCTTCTGCTGGCACTAACCAGGGCCAAGAACTTAGCCATCATCTGGGAGAGCCGGGGCTAGACTTGCTGAGAGGGGAAGAGACGAGTTGGCCTCTGCAGCAGGCTGATGTTGTGGAGGAGCAGACATACCAGTGCCACCCCCAGCTCTCCCATCCTAACAGCAGCATCGAGCCCTGGGAAAGCTGTCAGTTTGAAGGAGGAATCTCAGCCATGACGCAATGTTGTGGTTTTGGTTTTGTTTTTAATTATTATTGTTGAGAATCTAGAACATAAAAACTACAGAAATACTACATTACCAGTAGTTCCCAATTTCTTTTATGTGAAAAGAGAAAGTCTGGGATGGGAGAAAGGCAGTTCTCAATGTCGGCTTCATCCTTTTGGCAACCTCCTGACTAAATTCCTTGTTTATGAATGGGCTTTACAGATAAAGGATTACCTTTACTATTGTTCAGACTTCCATTTTCTGGCAACATTTTAGATACCTGTTTTTTTGTGCTTTTACCCACAATGTAATTTCTGGCTGAGCTGTGTTCGCAGAAAGAGAGGCTGGGCTGAAGCACGGATGAGAATTTGTACCCAAATATACCACAGAAATGTTAAACGTTACCAATATTCATTATGCAGTGAATGACATAACATAAGATGCTTATGCAGAGCAGAAATTATTCTTTCCTTACCGTGACTGAAGACTCTTAATCCTGCATAACATGTCTAGATGACCCGCTGAATACTGTTCAATGACATCTTTGACATCATATGGACGAAGTGTTTCCTTAAACTTTCTCTTTGCAACATGAAATTTCATAATTCTGTGGGGAAAAAGCATTTCACAGATTAATCTTCAACAGTTGTGAAACAACATGATGTATTCCACTGACAAAAAGCTGACAGCTAATTTTTAAATGGAAGGTATTTTCAATACAGCTTGTGCAAGTAAACTTTTCTGTTTACACAATTGTTTTTAGAAGTACAAATGTGTAAGTACAAATGCGTTGTAGCTATCCCTTTGAATTGTTATTTAAACAAGATCAGGTAACACTATTTTAGAGTGCAGAGCAAGTTTAACTTATCATTATACACCTATTTGGCTTTTTTATGCTAGGTGCCTGATATGAAAGGTACTGAAGTACATGCTTAACTTAAACCTGGGGTTAGTCCCACTGACTTGAGTGGGGTATCCTATAAGCTACATTTGTGCTTAAGCTACTTCTGTCTCCATTAGAGGAAAGATTTCTATAACAAATCGATTACACAACCATAAATAATAGTATTTTTTTTCTGGTGCTCATTTTAAGTTCTTTGCTTTCCATTTTGTAAAAAATTTAAATTTATGCACATAATTAATTTTTCATTCATTTTTATTTTTAATTAACATACAGGCCTAAGTATTTGTTTTTAATTTATTTTCCTGACTTAAGATCAAACTTTGCAGACTAAAGAGAAGTTTTCATGTTTGTTCCATATTGAAATCTATGGGAATTATTGTTTAATTAGCATCGGTGATCTTTTCCCTTGAATTCTACTGCAGAATAATAAGTATCAGATAACAGTAAATAGCCAAAATTGATGAATGGCATATGTTCTTTATGTGAGACTTGCACAAGTTTCTGCGATGCTTATGTGAATATGTGATGTCCACTGAGTAGCTCTTCTTAGAGTGAAAAGCTTGATATTAAATTGCAGATTTTAAATAATAGAAATGACAAATTTGGAAAGTAAATGACAGTGAGCCGATTTTCCAGGTCAGCTGGCAAAACCTGCAGTTCTCCTTGGTTTACACGAGAACTGCAGAAGAGAGAACTGTGCAAGAACTGGGAGAGAAGCTGAGGGATCAGGTGTGTTGGCTGTTCCAGTCTGTGTTACAGAGCTTATGAATCCCCATTAGGGCCAAACTGCTGATATTTCCTATCTCTTGCAATTAAAAAAGCAGAGACAGTAAATTGGTATCCTATTCCAAAAGCCAATATTTCATGCTAATATATTTCCTCTGTGTTTACTATGATATGTATTTAGCAGCTGTAAGACAATGAATTATAATAAAACCCAAAACATGGCTCTCACTCTGTAATAAAAATAGATGAGTAGTGTTTCAGTAGAATTTAGGAAAACCCTATTTTGTATAGTTAGGACAGACATTATGATCATAGGTATGTAGAGTCAGATTAATAGCATATAGTGATCCTCTACTGATTTCTGTATCATACATACAAATGTTCTTCCAAACAATATCAGCCTTTTCCCACAGTGCTTAGGTTGTTGATATTTCCCATTCTGGTAACTTCCAGCGAAAAATGAGATTGCTTGTCACAGGTGGAGAGCTTGAACTATGATTCTGATGATAGAAATTAAAAATGGAAAAGGCCTCTTAGGAGTAGTCCATCACCTTGACAGTTCAGGACCGATCTCCATGCAGTTTTAAACATGTCAGATGATGCACTTTCCTCTTTTCCATTGTCAGCCAGTTCTACATACTAATGGCTTTTGGCGTCTTTTGTAATCTGAAGGCCTCTGAAGCTGGGATGCAAAATTTTTTTTCTTTTAGCTGTCAAATGATGCCAAGATGTTCTGTTCACAATAGTCTGACAGCACAGACAATCTCCTGGTATCTAGTTCTTTATTCAGGTTACAAAGAATAAATGAGGTAGCTGACATACAGGAAAGTATCATTCTTTTGTTATTATACTCTCTGTTTTGGTGGCCACAATTTTTTACTTCACGCTCTTGATGAAGTAAAAATATGAAACTCTGTTAGAAAAGCAGAGCCAGAGGATTAATAGCGTAATTGAAGACAACTGAGTTTACCACAACTGGGTGATTTTACAAGAGAAGAGACAGAAGACTAATTTTTACTAACAGCCATAGGAGCTGCTTAATCAGTGTGCACAGAAGCCTTCATTACTGCTTTGCAGCTTAATCACAGGGGTTTTTTGCTTATCAAGGCAGTTTGTTCATAACGTTCAGAAGTCAAACATAGGATCAAAAGCATCGCGGCGGTACCAGTGAGGTGTAACTGTACTATTTCTGGTTTAGGTATTAGCTCATGTGATGCCATCTTAATTAACTTCAGCAGGGTTATATTGCTTACTTCTTTTTGCTTCAAATATATAACATTTTACATAAACTGTGCAAAAAACTGAAGGTTTATAAAAGACTGGCATTTTAAAAGCCTGCAAGTTAATTAATAAACAGAAAACCTGAATTCTTTCAGTCATGGAGCCTAGCAACTGCTTTGCAGTTATTAAATTTGATTGATTCTCCATAGTTATTTACTGTCAATTTTAAAAACTCAGTTGGCTTTCTATATCTTGAAATAACTATGTAATTGAACTTGATAGGCTTGAACACCCATCCTGGAAGATTATTACAACTACATAGAGCATATTAAAAAATCGTGAACAAAAAAAAGCCTTTGAGCTTCCTTCATTCGTGCTTCTAGAATAAAAAGTTCCCGTTCTGGTGTGTTCCTGTGGGATAAAAACAAAGGGTTCGGTTCGGGTGGGTAACTTACCTGTACCAAAAAGGGAAAATGAGCGCAAAATTATTCACGCCCCAAGCATTTCAGGCATCAGCCCTTAACACAAACAGGAGGAATAGGGCAAACAACTACAGCTCGGTCTGTCTTGTCTATTTATACCACAGGGGGGCAAACAAGACTCAGCATAAACGAAACTGAGTCGCCACCGGCAATGCCGAGCTGCTAGTCCTGACCAAACAGCAGTAATTGAAAGTAAGAATTAACCCAAAAGAACAAAACCGTGTAGTCCCCATGGCTTTTGAAAACATCATTTGTATTTTTAAATCGCTGTATGCCGTGTAGCGAGGCGCTATTTTATAACTGGTATCTAACGTGATAGACGATACACGGTTGTAAACCTACCCAAGTCACAAGCACGACAATTTTCAGGTGAGAATTAGCCATAAAAAGCAGCCTATTTCAATGATGCATCCAGAGGAGAGCAGAAAAAAAGACTTTTGTGTTGAATTAGGCCAATATATCAAAGTGCTTTTTCTGTAGTTAACATCTAAACCACAGGTGCCACTAATCTTTACATGCCCTGGTAATTTGTAGAAAGTTACAGGTCCAATACTGACTTTTGTCTGACTGACCCCTAGCAGCCAAAAGCAGCATCCATTTCATTTAACTCTTGTCAAATGCAGGATCAGCACCGATCTAGAATTACAGGGGCAGGTTGCATATCTTTCCTGGCATTTGTTGCATTTTAATTTCCATTCGTGTTGCCCCTTCCAGCATTAAAAGCTATTCTGCTTGTCATTAGTGCACTTTACTGAGACCGGCACCGAGTCAGAACATCTCTAATCCTCTGTGCAGCCCTGTCGTACTCCTGTTATTTTTTTAAACCTGTATCTTGTCAGTCTTGTCACTATCTCAGGAAGAAATGGGGCTTCAGTCTATCGGGATTCAGGTGAACTTGTACGTGGTTACTGCCTCGAAGATTAAGACAGGTAGGCTGTTTTATCCGTAGCTAGATGAGGTGACCACAGGTTGGTTGCTCGCTTACTACACCAGGAAAGCAGGTGCCCACAGATCTAGTTGTGCTGGTTCCTCCGCCTCTCTCCCCTTACCTTGCCAATTAACCCTTCTTCCTAGTAAACTGCAACGTGCAGAAGAGATCAGGATCCAGTATAGAGAGGCCAACAGACAAAGGTGGTTGAGAGAGAGTTCCACTACAGATGGGGTGAGTGGGGCAAAACTGCCTCCTCTCTCGGGTCTGCACCTGGACTAACCCATCCCCTAGGAGCCAGAGACATTGTTTTCTCCCAAGCACAGTGTTGTCGTAGCCAGAGGCACATCTAAGAGCCTTGCCTAGACTCTGAAGACCATCTGGGCAGAAAATATACAACGTGTTGGGATTTAAAAGAAATAGAGGATTCTGAAACACTGCCGTTGAACAAACTCGTAATGGCTGCTAAAAATAGATTTTATAGGTGTAGCAGAAACATTTCAAAGAGTGAACATAAACGGTAAATTATATTTTCCTTCTTTGGCTATTAAATATGTATGACTATTCAACCATACGGCTTATCAGCTTAAGAATTCTCAAGTTTCATTACGTTTAGCTACATTTATTATTATTATTTCTTAATAACAACAAATGGAAACATATCTATGCAATCACTAGAGTTAAAGAGAGAAAAGACCTCTTAGGTCAGCAAGTTCATCTTCCTGCCATTGCAGTTATTTCCTACTGCATATTTATTTATGCTTCTCAAATCTAATTTTATATTCCATAAATAGTAAAATAATTCCATCATTTCCATTGTGGCGAGTATTACTGAATTTAGTGCCTCTAGCTATGAAAAATGATCAGAGATATCGCAATATATGGAAACAAGGTATCCTCATCTTCTTTTTAGTCTCTTTTATATACACTCATCATTGTGAACTAACAGAGCTGGAAAATGCAATGTTTTTTGTTAGTCTCCAGGAACTCTGCAGGATATTAATGGCTTTTTGTTCACGACAAGACTAAGGCGGGTTGAGCGCTGCTACAAAACCTGCTGTCACAAAGGCTCGGCGTACCGACACGGTGCAAATGCATCGAGCGGCTTTTCCATACTTTCCCTGCTGCCTCAGTTGATCTTTCCTGACAAAGAGTTTGTAGTAAGGAGGGGTGGAAGACTCAGCCTGGGGGGCTTTTGAGAGGAGGCTGGCAGCTCGCCGCGTTACCGGACAGGTCTGCCCAGTGGGTCTTCCGTAGGACTGGTTGGGAGTCCTATTTCTGGAAAGGGCCAATATGATAAGAACTTTTTCAGGAAAGGACTGTTCTCTCCATCTCCTGGTTTGACCATTTCAAAATGGAAGTTTGGGGGTTTGTTTGCTTAAAAATTAAAAAGTTGGTTTGAAGAATAAAGTAGTCCTGGGAAAAATGTAAGTAAGCAAGGTCAAAACTGAAGCAGTACACTTTGAAATTACCAAAATGAAAGATGATAAATAAACCAGTTTTTGTCTTTTGCTATTTCAAGGCTGTACAACCTGAGAGTAACCAGCAGAGTCTAGGCTCCTTTCACAGAAAAAAAAAAACCATTTCTTTCTGATTCCAAAGCTGAGAGAGGCCCTACCTCTGTAGAGCCACAGGCATGCATTAATTTTGCTAATTTCATTTTTTTCCCTAAACAAAAGGACCATTTGTATCACTGTAAAACAGTTTGTACCCTGCTCTAAGCAGGAAAAAATAATTACTCTCCCTTATTGCAATTTTTCAAGGTGATGTAGCCAGAATGGATTCAACTGTGTGTGCTTATATTTGGGGTCTTTTGCATAGTATCTCAGGAAGCTATGCAAGTATCTTCCATCTTCATCTGCTCCTGTATACCAGCGAGAGAGGAAAAACAGCTTCCACCCTCCCCTATTGCCTTTGCAATTCAAAGCCGTTGCTGAAAACAAACTTCAAAATGAGGCACAAAGTTTCCATATAGGCAGATGTTATCATCTTGAAATTCTACAGTTACTATATAGTGTCTCAGATCCTTCTTCAGATGTTTGCATAGATCCCAGTGTAGTCAGGTAACAGATACTCTGAATAATCAGAAAGAGAAGTATCAGCTACCTGATGAACTGAATTATCAGTCTCTTGATTTTGAGAGATTAAGGTATAGCATTTAACAGAAGTCTGAAGATCATGGCATATTACTGCTTTAAAGATCTCAAACAAAGGTATGTTTCTGAAGCAAGATGTATGTGCCGTTTGGAATCTAGTGAAACACTAACATTTGCAGGGCGAGATGAGAGACATTCGTGGCTAATTGATAGCATTGAATTGAATTGAATGCAGAATTCTTATTCTCAGCCTCAGTGGTGAAATGAGTTGGGTTTTGGTAAGCCAAGTGTGCAGAGAAATAGTTGGAGATAATCTAAAAAGTTGACTCTCATCAGTTAAATAGTGCATGTCTGAAACAAACTGTTTCATCTTTGCTTTTCTTATTAGAATATTCCTGCAGATGGCACTGTGGAGAAAGTTTGCCAACTATGTCTTTCACATTTGGTTACTTTCCATTTGAGCTGGCAATTACCAAGAGAACCAAGCAAAGATGCAGGTGATGCATTGAAGAGTCCAGTGGCGCCTTTGAAAACAAGCTCCGTGAATTTAGTATTAAAATGTGAAGTTGATCTTAAGGAATTTGGACAGTATTAAGAATGAGATGACCGTTGGTATCGCTTGCCAGTACAGTGGCAAGGTGCATCTGGAGCCAAGGGTCAACCTCTGTTTAAAATGCAACATCACAGGCAAGGATCTTTGGCACCAGAGCCAATGGACTATGGCGATTGTTCCTAATTTGAGCATTTTCCATTTGAAGGAATAGGCCTGCCTTGTAGGTGGGTGTCCACTGCGTAGAAGGATTTCTGTCACCTGCTGAAACACCGCTGGCAAGAGGCGGTTCTCAGCGGTGACATTTGAGTTGCCAGTTGCAGTGGCTGTGGACGCGGACCTGGTATCTGACACGTCCTTTGAGGTCGTTTCCAGGCAGGTTGGAAAAATGGCTGGAACAGATGTCTGCAAGTGATCTGTCACGCTGTCTGTGCTGGTAGAAAAGTGTTAGAAACAGCCTCACTCGCTATCTGTCTTCATCGGCAATCAGGGGAAAAAGGGGAAGGAAATACAAGCAGCCCATAGGTTACCACTCTATGAAATTATTTGATAAAGAGCTGGAGTTCTTTCTTCCCATAGTGCTGAGAAAACTCAGGCGAGAGTCTCCCTGCAGGAAAACATCATCTTTCCACGGGGTTTTGCAGAAATCCCCTGTGGAAGGGTGCTGGGCACTGCCGTGACCGTGATGCAGAGCCAGCGGGGTGACCCCCAGCGATAACCTCGGGTTTGCTGTCAGCAGAGAGGGGATGCCTGAGCTCTCCTTGCTTCTCCTTGTACGCTTTATGGCGGGGATTTTGCCTGTTGGGATTTGCACTTCAAAATATTCAGGAAGATGAAGAGCCATGACGGTCTCAGGAGGGTGAATGCTAAGTTTAAGCTTTCAATACAGGTAATTTTATAAGTTTCAATGCAGTTTTCTGCTTTCTCGGAAAATAAGGAGACTATTAGTTTTAAATTATTGGGGTTATATTTAGTTCAATGGATAGTGGCAGGCAAGGCTTTGCACAATTGAATGAATGTAATTATTCTGCTGTTACCAGAAGAAAGTTGCAATGAAAGTCATATGACAGACAGTTTCAGGAATATGGAACCGCAATAAACCCCTAAACTTTTAAAGGAAATAATTTTTCCAGGCAAGGTGATACACATTCAGTAAAACTACATCAAACTGGATGACAGTATTTTGGATTACAGGAAATCTAGTGGAAACCAGCATTCATTACTCTCTTTCTTTTCTGAGTCAAACCATGTAGCATTTTTAGACATTGAAAAGCTGATAACAGAATAGATAAAATATTTTAACTTTTAATTAAAATACTGGTGAAAAGGAAGCATAAATAAACTATATTAACGTAAGTTAGGTAACAAATATAGCCATCTAATAAGTTCCACTAATTACCATTTTATTAATTGACATGCAGTTAATTAGTACCTTAGTTAAAGAAATCTCAAATATTTATTCATTCAGTATTTTTGACTCACCTGATTGCTCTGATGACAGTTTTAAGAGCAGGGGTGAGATCTTCTACTGACACATCACACTGGCACCCTTTATCATCATAAACATCATCTGTTCCAAGACTGGTGTCAGCTGCAAAATGCAAGAGCAGACTAAACAAGCAGCATTTAAAAATCTCTTCCTTAGTGTTTTCTAACCACCTGCACAGTTGTTCTGGAAAAATAAGGACTAAAATAAAAATAAAATCAAATAAGACAGAGCTTCATCAGTTTACGAACTATATGATGCACTTGTGTGTGTCTATGCTTGTGTTACAAAAGGCCTGGGTAGTCCCCACTGAACATAGTGAAAGTTAGAAAGGAAGAAAGCTCTGTGATTTTTCAAACAAATTAATAGTTAAGTACCAGTGTGTCTGTTCCTGGTGTCTCACTGGTTTTTATCACATTCTCTGTCTTAAGGGAAAGTGGTGAGCTAACAGATGTAACGGCAGAATCAAAAGATGCTGAAGTTACATTAAATCGTTATTTTTTTACCACTATGGATCAACCTGACACTGAAGACAAAGGAGAAGATCCATTTCATTCAATAAGGAGGCTGTGGAGTGATCCGACGCTTTATTACAGGTGAAAATAAACGAAGTACCTTTTTACCAGACATGAATAGAGAATGATACCCATCATAGATCACTTGCCACCTTAAACCTCAGAGTCATGTAGATATTGCAGCCTTCCTTTGCAACAGGGCCTTAAGCCAAGTTACTGTTTTTATTTGCCTGAAAAAAATGGATTCTCTACCCCTTCCTAACACCGTCTCTGCAGAGTTACCATTTGAAAATTAGCTAGAAATCTCAGAAGTGCCCAGTGTACCTCAATACACAAAGAAAACAGGGACTGATGCATGACCAAGAAGGTTTACAAACTTAAAATGCGCTGGAATGGGAACGGAGCAAGGAGGGCAGGGTCAGTGGATGCCCATACGTCATATATGTCTCGAAGGCAGCAGAAAGACTCGAGGGAAGGTGTTTTTTCCTCCCGAACAATCTTTCTTCGACTGCACAAAGTCCAAGTGCCCAGGTGAAGAATTTCACCCAAGGTCAGTGTATTTCAACATGTGAGCGTCTCTGCTTCATGAGGAAGAGAGTGTAAAATGAAACGTTGACATCAAATAGGGAAAAAAGGATGGGATTCAGTAACCCTCAGTCATGGAGGAGATTTCTTCCCAGTCCTATCTCCCTGCTGTTATTCATGCTGTTATTTAAAACATAGGCTTAGTCATCCAGAAACTCTGCAAGTAAACCATGCTTCTCTTATAAGCAGATTTGAAGCACAATCAGACACAAATGATTGCAGGACATTTTTTGCAAGTTCCTGTTCCAGAAAGACTGTAAAATAAAGATGAAGGATATTCTTTGTCAGTCAGAAGTGCCTGGAAATTTCATGGTACCCTTTAAATCTAATAGCAATGCTATCTTGGCATAAACAGAATTGTACTAGGCTGCATCTGCAGGAACTGGTATTGCTGCATTGTTGTCTTCACAGATTTAATATTTGCCCATAATAATTTATTTTGTTGACTCTGGCTAGTTCATTACCCCCAAGAATATGTTTTCTTTTTTGACTGTTGCTGAGCTGGTACATTCATGGGGAATATCTCCTGTAGCTTTGAAGAGCAGGAGATTTTATCTTTGACAGATCAACTTAACGCAGAAAGAAAGATGGTTTATAGCCAAGTTAATTATATATTTAAGTATACATGAAACAATCAAATGCAAGCTTAAAAAAATTCAGTTTTACATTGTAAAAGTGAAATTTTCATACAGAACTTTGAAATCTCCCCTTCCGTGCTCTTACTGTAAGTCATGCCTACAATGACGACAAGAGTGTTTTTTTTCTCGCACTCTTTCACAAGCTTTGCTACTGACTCGGCTTATCTTATTGATAAAATATATATGTCGCTCCACCTATTCTGCCTAACTAACATTTGGATCCCTGCCCAGAAATGTGATTAGCTAAGATAAACGATGTAATTAGTTCGATAGATATATACACTACCTAAAAACCCCTCTCTGAAAGTGCTAAGTAGTCCACAACACTAACTTTCCAGGTGTCATGTCTGATCAGCCTCTCCAGTTACTTCTCCCAGTGCTGAAATCTCCCAGCTCATTTCTAAGTGCCATACTAAAACCAGAGCTTTTTTTGCTATTGGTATTTCCAGTGGCTTTCTGAGGTTTGAATCTACTCAGTTATGCCAGTATAAATTAGGAATAATTCTGCTAAGGTCACAAGAGCTACAACCATGTAATCCCAGTGTAACAGGAGACTCGAAAGTTTAGAATAAACATGTTTCTGAGTAGTTCTCTCACTGATACGGTTCCTGGGTCCTTTGCCAAGTACACTGTCATTAATAAAAGAGCTTCCTTAACACAGTACATCTTTGCAGAATGGTTTTGAGAACAGTGTGGTGCAATTATAGGATTCCATGTTGTTCACATGTGAATACAAAAATCAGCAAAATCTTTAGACAGACGCTGGCAAATTCTTTTAAATTTAAGCCAGCTTTAAGAAGAGATAGCGCTTCTAATAAATCACCTTCTTTTTTTCTTTCTAGCATTCCCACTGACATGAATTTCCTTCACTATGGCAGGCGCTCGGTACCACATGTCAATAAAACTTCTGAAAAGCCATAAACCTTGTTTGATTCATATGGGAAACATTCATGTTTCTTTAGAATACTGAGCAGACTTGGGAAAAAGTTTTGGAAATGCATAGTAACAATTTGGGAAAAAAAATCCGGCTTAAAACACCACTGAAATCAAAGTTCACATTCTGATGAATTTTTCCAGTGGAAGCTCACGTTGTGTACGACGTGGTTACGAGGTGAGATGTACTTGTCTCACTTCTGTGGCTCTCGAGTTCATCCTCGAGGTCAGGGCTATGCTGGAGTCAGTTTGGCTGCTTCGTCAGCTCCAGCCGTTAAAATCCCTGCCAGTTCCCAGACGGCACTAAGCTTCGGCCTCCGACAAACCTCACTCCAAGCCGCTGCCTGTTCCCAGCGAGATCTCCCCCCATCATTCACAAACCTGGCTGCTCTGCCAGCCCTTCCTAGGGTTAGCGCTGGTCCTCTTTCCTCTCCGGGAGTCTCCACCACCAGCTAAACGGGTCGTTGGAGGCTGTCGCTTGGGCAGCGCACGGATCCGCTCCCAACGATGGCCAAAGCGTCTCTGAATACAGCTCTAGACGTACCCCCGCCAGTCTCCCTAAGAAGGGGTGTCAGCCAGTCTGACAATCCAGACACAATTCCCCTTCTCTAATACCACCATCTTTCCAATTCAGGATGTGTTTTGATCCTAAATGTCAATCTGGAAAGTGTTTATTTCACAACTGATGAGGCATCCGCCATTGTCTTACAATCTTTGACATTATTTACTTTGGGCTGCAGTCTTGTCTTTGCCACTTTTTAATTTCTTCCTCTTTCTTCCTGAAGAGCAGTCTTTGATTTAATCACACAGCAAATCAGCAATTACCAAGAAATAGAAGAGAGGCATGCACAAGTCATTAAAATCATCTTGATAGCTCCCTGTTTGTCACAGTATTTATGCATTCTTCATGCAAACTCCAGTCACTCATGATCACCCCAAATGAACGGGTGAAAAATTACACTGTTCTGAAGCATTATGTGTCACCAACAAAAAATTTACGAGTTTCTATCTGCATTTCATATGGCTTTGTGCAAAATTTACAAATGAGGCATGATTTATTATTTCTGTAAATATCATGTGTCCTTTCTTAGAAGTGTTTTCTGTCATTTAATAACGTGCTTTGGCGTCAGGAAAACTGTGACACTGCTCTGATCACCCTCATAGCTCCATGCTTTCAATGTCAGTAACATTCAAGTAACGATGTGCCTGTTTAACAGAACTGAAAGTATTTTGTGGTCTTTCATTTGTTTTCTGGGAACTGCCATATGCTAGCAGCAACAATCCAGCATGAATAACTGCATGTGCCGACACCATTAAGACTCCTGTGGAAGTGCTCCTAACCTAGTGATTGGTATGATGATCCCAACACAGAACCTTTGACTCTTTTTTTGGAAGCCTTCGGAAGCACTCAGATCTTAGTCTGACTGCGTAGGAGGTAGTTAGGGCTCTTCATGTGGGTGACGTAAATCATTCTGCTGAGGCTGAGTACCCAACTTTTAGAAATGGCAAAACCTAAATAGGTGCCTGAAGTTGATAGTTTGCATATGACTCTCAGTTATTCGTGTTACAGCACAGTGTTGTGTCAACTTGGTAAAAAAAGCACTGATTTGGAAAAAAAGTCTGATTAATTTTCATTGTAACGCATGACTCAAGGTGAAAAATGGATGGTGGCCTAATTTTCACACGTGTAGATTATAACTGTCATTCAAAATCCAGAGTTCAGCTTGGGAACTGAAGTCCAAGCAATCCCAAATGCTGCTCCAGACCCTCTCCTCCACCCCCTTCGGCAGCCCCGCTGGAGCGCGGAGCCGCAGGGCACCCCAGCGTGATGCGCTCCTCTCCAAACTCATTTTCCACGTGAGTGGCCAGAAAGAAGACGAGCAGAGAATTCAGCGCACCTAACTTCTGGGCAAGTAAAGTTAGACATAAATTCAAAGCTTTTGGAGGACAGATCGTCCCTGTGGGAGGTGCCGATACATAGGTCTGCTGCAGCTGCTTTGGCGTTAAGACTCCAAACTGCCTTACTCTTAGATGGCTACTGAGCTCAGATGACCCCTCTTGTTCAAGAAGCAATGTTGGCAGCCTAATACTCTCATTATTCTCTTCTTTTGGGCCCTTTTGCAAGCAACGGAGAGCCCTTGTTATGCTGCCCTAGGTAATGTCTAGGATGCCTACAAGGTAGGCGCATTGCATTCAACTTTACACTGCCTTTCTTCACCCTGAGCATTCGCTGTGAGGAGTTAGGGGTTTAGCCTATGTTCTCTAGAAAATGGAGATAACCAGTACGTATTTTATAGTATTTCCACAAATGCCATAATGCACAGAATGTTTCGCAAAATCTCAGTTACTGTTTTCCCCTCAAAAATTATTCTAAGTACAAATATCTTCATGGTTTATGTTCATACAATTCATGCAATCTCCCTTTATCAAAATA